GCCATAGATAGAACATGTTGCGAAACACAATTAGCCAGCATGTGTAGTTCTGGGGGGGAGGGGGGGCTGGGCTGGACCCGTTCGAGTCCAGTTTTGGATCGTCTGCCGTGGTTTCATTCCATTTCAAAGAGCTGTTTGACGCTCGGCGTAACCTTGGCGCACTGCCACTCCAACATCCAATCACAGAGCTTGAGGACTAATCACGGGGTTTGTCAAGCAAAGCGGATGTTGTAGTCCCCAACGATTGGTGAGGATTATGGGTAGTGTAGTGTCTTCGGCCATCCTAAACTCCGAAAAAACTATTTGTTTCCCCGAATTGAACGTTAAAAACACAAAAGCATTGTACACAATTTAAACCAATCAATATTGTGTAATTAACAAGGATAAACTGATGTTTTTTAGTGGATGAGTAATGCATATATCGCTGTATAATCATTTGAAAGTGAGGGGAATACTTCCGGTTTTATTATGAAAACTTTGAGACCGGAAATACTGTTTTCACCCCGTGAGGGTTGACCAAGCCCCCAGGAAGTGCGCCGGACTCTGAGGAAAATATTCGTTGTGGCCAAACGGCGGTACTACACTTCCGTATCAGTCGCTGGGCCCGGAAATACTTTTTCCCATTGACTTACATTGGGAAAGAGACGTCTGTAAATCGTTGGATAATTTTTTTTGAACTAAATAAACTACCCAGTATGAACATTTGTATAGAGAGAGTTATTTTCCTCGGCATTATGAACGTGGATCCAACCCACGGGACCGCGCCGCCTGGCACGTTCATGTGACGTGTTCTGTACTACATGAGTTTTACCTTTACTCATTTACTCAAAAAGAATTTTAATGGCCAAACTATTCTACAATTTAGGATTTTCCAGAGAGGGTTATTTGTGAATATACAACCCACCAGCGTTTGCAGTCAACAGGAGCATATGCCCATATGCTGCAAATTGTTGTTTCTTACCACAAGAGGTGCTAAACTTTAAAACCTGACTATAGGTCTTCATAAGCTGCTGAACAATCAACCTATTTGGTCGTTTTTTGGAAGAGGAGAGGCTGAAAAAAGCAGTCTGATTTATTTATATTATAATAATAATAATAATAATAATAATAATAATAGTTACATGCATGCAAGAAGCATTGTCAAAGTTGTAGATGGTTCATCGGGAACCAATTAAAACTGCTGAATCTACAGAGTAACAGCTGTCAAATGTAGTGGAGTGTAAATTGGAAATACTCATTTAAAGTACAGGTTACTTTCCATCACTCTTTATATGTACATTAATAATTGCTGTTCGTTCTCAAATGTAATATTTGTGCTATAATCTTTTGGACAATCTTAAAGTCATCTGAGGTAAACAATGTGCTCCCTATATTAAAGAAAGCGGTGTTTGCATCGTCAGCAGCCACTCAATGAATGCTTAATGTGAGAAGCTCCTCAGTACTTGTGCTGATGCTACACAAACATTCAGGACTCAGGAGGCCCAGTTTGGCTCCAATAGTACAGAGTACTTTGGCCTGAAGCGAAATGTGTTACTTTTCTCATTAACACTCGATAAAGGAAGCGCGCAGAGCGACAGGACCTTTCTGTCCCTGCATTGTGCTCTTTAATTCACTATCTGTGCAGCCCAAGGTCACAGCATGATACATTAATTCATAGAAAAAGAATATCAATAGCAAGTCTTAAGAATCTAAGTATGTTGAGTATCTAACTGGGTACGTTTTTGAGGACACTTAGATCTGCTAAAGACATGGGTACTGGGTACGTTTTTGAGGACACTTAGATCTGCTAAAGACATTCAATTAAAGGTGGGTTATGTAATTCATTTCAGAAACACTTTTTGTTATATTCCATGGAATGGAATGCTCTTAACATCCCGATAGCAATGAATATATGAAATGCTTTGACAATAAATACATTAAAAAATGTCATCTGTGGAAGCCGTAGCGCTTTAAACTCTTAAAAAGCACGACCAATCATTTTAGCCGCGGCCCGGCTAAAATAACTGGATGGCCTACCTGTCTGTCAGCCTTCCATCTGTGCACACATTTATCTCGTGCCCTCATTGGTCATGTGCGTAAGTGTGTCTTGGAGGAGGGGCTCAGTAAGGAAGTCTGAAGGAAGAGGCAGATTTTTTCCGGTTGTGTAATTTTAAATTCTAGCGCGCTCAAGCTGGTTTCTCCAAAATTACATACCTCACCTTTAAGTCTAAAGATAAACCACTAACAGACATTTCCTTCTCCGTGTACATCTTCATGATTAAAGTGAGTGCCTGTGCAAGGCCACACCTTTGCGGCTTCTCTGTGAGAGCACTGCCCCCATGTGGTGAGATGGAGTAGTAAAAGTGTCAGCAGGCACAGGAGCAACAAGGCCTTGTGACTCAGATTGTATTCTCATTATTATGTTTCATTCATATAGATGGATGGCAAAGTAAAGGAAAAAAAACGTGTCCCCTAAAAGTATTGGATTCTTCGTAATGATATTTCCTCATGCCTTTGTTGGAGTATCTGCATTTGTGTTCAGAAATAACGTAATTTCCTTGATTTTTTGTTTATATGTAGGCCTATGTCTATTATAGACTTTAAACTGATAAGTCAATATGAAATAATGTATTAGCTTTTTTTGGATAATGTTTGGTCAATATGAATATTTTGCTGATACATTTTTTTTAAAAACTTTTTTCAAACATATTTCCTTTACTGTTGAGTATAGTGTGTTTAATCAGGTCATAACCCTGTAACCATTAAATTGGTCATTTTGGATTTCAGAAGACCAAGTTGATAAGACACTGATATAAAACACACAGCTGTGAATTATTACTCAACAGATGTATTCATGGACAGTAATTAGGTTAAATTAGGTATGTTATGGCTGAGTATTTCGATTTTACACATGATTATATTTCAGGGGGAATTATTTTTAAAGTATATTATAATTTTACATAAACTCGTAAACTTCAATTCAACTTAAAAATAAGATATGCTGTTTCATTGTAGATTTTTTTTACAACAGTTTTACAAAATAGGAGGGAAATTAGACCTACTGAATATTATTACCTGGAAATAATACACACAAATAGCTTGGAGTTAAAGAAGTGAATGTATGTTCTTTAAATATTATTGCTGTTGACCTCTCAAGGTCACATTACTGTTGCTTTCGGGGAAATCGATCTCTAACCTCTGGGACAGAAACGTGAAGCACATGCACAAGTGGCTTAAACCTGCATCATTTCTAAAGCCCAGAAGGGGATACAAAATCTGCTATACCTGTGAACTAGCTGTTCAAAGTTAGCTAAACCAGCCATTGCAAACCAGAGCTGTTTGAATCAGTTGTGTGTGAGTAGCAAAATGTGCTATGTCATTGGGTGTAAATCACGCCCGACCTGCATTCTCTTGAACGATGCTGATACTGTTCCTCAGAGCATATTTCTAACCCCTCCCGACCACACCCATGAGTAATGCAGCAGTGTGTGGTCGGGTGGGGTCAGTAGTGTAACAGTCCTGAAACAACCTGAGAGGGCAGTGAAGCTTCGTCTTTCAACCCCGTGTTAACAGATTTGTTAAATGTAGTGTTGTGATTAGGCCATAAATGGTCACACCAATTTAAAAAAAGCAACGCTTTGAGATAACTATACAACGAAAAAAGGTGAGGGTTGAGACTTTTTTCACAATATTCCTAGAAATTCTTGTCACTTGACCTTGTTTTCTATCTTCTTGGCTCCCCCAGTTCACAGCGCTCTGCACTTGACTGTGTTTACCCTGTGGCCACATAATGTCTTACTGATTTACATATTAACTAACCGACTCCAAACCAAGCCAAACAGGCTTTTTTCTTTCAGCTGTGAACCTGTGATGCTGCTCTGAGTGCAGCTCTGCTCCTCTGAGAGAGCTGAATGAGATCCCATGGTGCTCTGCTGCACTACAGTAATAGGTCATGGCACTGAGCTGTTGTGATTGAAACTAACAACAAAACAAGTTGGATTACTGGAATAGTTTTGGATTGAAGCACAGCCAAAGGTTTTGAGATGTCTTTGGTGTTACAAAATCAGAGTTTGAACTAAGGATTAGCAACATGCTTTTAGAAGAGTTTGAATTAACTGATGAGGGCCAAGCATTTCATTCTAATTTAGGTTTTCTATCAAACGAGATAAAGCATTAACTTCACTTTTATCTTTAAAATTTGAAAAATGTGTTTTCATTGCCTCAGAGTTTGAACAAGATAGACGGGGAGGTCTGCAGGGCGTGACGGCTGCTGTTGGCATGTGTGGGCAGACTTGACACAGCAGTTTAACCAGGAGAGGAGCAAGAAAGTGCCTGAAAGGAAAGCTGTTGACTTATCATCCAGACCAATTCACACCCTTCAGTCACATATTGTAAGGCTTTATCTGGACTGGCTGAAGCTCAGACAGCACTTGTTAGGTTCAGCTCCTCGGCTGAGTTTCTGGCAGGAAAATGGTTGAAAATATCATCGCCAGTTGCCAAAAGTTAATGCAAAATCACAGCTCTGAAATCCTTTTTATCCATCCCGCCTAACTGGGTTGCCTGTCATCTCTTTGTGTGAGGATCATGCAATAACATTATGGAGAGCTTTGTTTGAGAAACAACATTCCTAATGTAAATGGTAATCTCAAGATGTGATCTAGAAGAACTTGACTTCTACTTATAGAATGGTCTTGTTTGTATGTGTGTGTGTGTGTGTGTGTGTGTGTGTGTGTGTGTGTTTTTGTGTGTTTTTGTTTGCGTGTGCGTGCGTGGGTGCGTGTGCGTGTGCGTGCGTGTGTGTGTGTGTGTGTGTGTGTGTGTATACATGCCTTTCTGTATGTGAGCCTACACCTGTGTGCACATACCCTTTACCTCTAGAGAGGCAGCAGGAGGGGGAGGAGTGGCACAGGTATACTGGATATTCTCGCTGGGTTTGAAAAGGGAGGGCAGCATGGCAACACACACCTTTAAAGACAGAAACACGCGCCTCCACTGGCCTCACTACTGCTCTCACTCTGACAGCAGCAACAGGAATAATCATGTTCAGCCTCATCAAATTACCGCGAGTCTTCACCATCAATCAAGTGCCCAAAGTAAGTTCATCTTCATTTTATCTTTACTGAACATGTATGACACTTTGGCTTACACACACTGTGACTCATTTCAGGTTAAGGTTGGTAGGTAGACTTAAATAACATTAAGTCACAGAAAGAAAACTGTCATACCTTTATTTACAACTTGTTTTTATTTCTAAAATCTTATTGATTAGTTTTACCTGTGAATGCAGGTTAAAGTTTAACATCTGCCAAAATAAGGTAAATAAGTATTCTTAAATCAGCTTTTCTAGCGTTTTAAGCTCATGACCCCCGGTGAAACAAATCAATGTCTTCTCACCAAAGTTTAGAGAGTGATTTCTCCTTCACAGATTGTTTGATTTGCAAGATATTTATGAACCATAAAAGGTTCAAGTTAATTGGTTATAGAATAAATATATATAAATACATTTCCTTAAAAGAAAATGTGTTTATGTTTATATATATATATATATTCTATACCTTTAGTCACCTTATGACCCGTCATTTTTATCTTTGGGGGGATCCCATACCCCGCTCCCAAACTTGCAACACTTGGTCCACTAAGCATCACCTGATCTTGTGTATTTGCAATGTATTTGGAGATTTCTTCTGTGTTCAGAGCAGGAGAAATGTATATTGTAACAAACTTGTCAAACTGGCTGCAGACTAAACTAAACGTTTTCTCTCTAAAGGTTTTCCACGAGGACGGCATCGTCTCTGGATACCGACACCCCCGCAGCTCAGCCACTGACTGCATCCTGAGCCTCTTCCAGCTGACCAATGAGACGCTCAACATCTGGACCCACTTTCTACCCACCTGGTACAGATGACAATTATTCTTTCCTTGCTGAAATGCATTGCAATTATAAATCTCATAAACATGTGTTGGGGAGACACACTTGTGACACACCTGAAGGCATGTACTGTTTTTTTTCCTTTTCAGCTGTTGTGAAGTGGCTTAATTTATGTAAGAGGTTACCACTCATCAACCAAGAACAATCTTAATCCCAGAGAGGAAAAGTCTTATCCCAAAAAGTCAACTCCCTACAGAAGAGTTAGTAAATTAAAACATCTTTCAAAAATCCTTAGTGATTTTGAATTTCAGCTGGGAGAGTTTTCTTTGTCCTGCTTCGTGTTGAAAGGAATCTTGTTCAGCTTGTAGGTAAGAGAGTATTGCCGAATCTCATTGTGTGGTTTTATAGTTCAGTTCTGGCACATTGCCATCTGAAGACTACCAAAACCATTTGTACAGCTCATACCCACAGTTACAGTATCTGTCTGCTCGGCATTCATAGTGTATGTCAGTGAATACATTCCGGCGAATATTTATTACATAAATGAACTCTTCAAGTAGTTAAATGGATGCCGGGAGAGCAGCAGACTTGACATACGTCAGTAATAAAGCAGTTGGACATGGTAGCAACAGCTTCAAGTAATATGAGAAGGATTATACATGAAGACAGTGTTTAAGGTCATCCATCCCAGCAACATGTGGGTGCAACAGACCTCCTGCGGTGCTTTCTAGTGTTTGTGCAAATGTACTCTCATAGTACAGCTGCATTCATACAGTTTATTTATTCTTTAATCAATTCATAATTCTACTTACGCTTTCTGTTGGGAATTTCCCCCTCATCAAATTAGACATCTCCAGGAAGCCTTGTTTTTACTAGTTTAAGGAAAGTTACAGTGGATGTCTGTTTGAAAAAAAAAGGACTGACTTTATTGTAAGTGTACACATCGAACAAAGACATTTTCTGTGCAGCTCCTGGAAAAGGAACATTCAATATTCCATACAATCACAAACACACACACGCACACACACACACACACACACACACACACACACACACACACACACACACACACACACACACACACACACACACACACACACACACACACACACACACACACACACACACACACACACACACACACACACACACAGTTATTGCAGACTTCCTTTAGTTCACAGCTTTATTTATGTGCTATGTAAAGGTATCACAATCTTTGTGACCCTTGTATGATCAACTTTCATGTTACCCATACAAAACAGTTAGCGTTTATGCAAGGTTACATTTTAATCTAAGATTACACAATACCTGCTTCTAAAATGTATTAAACTCAAGAAGACTTTGCAGTTGTTTTCTCAGCTTCTTAATTTTTACCTAAGATGCAACCCCTTCAGGTGAAGACAGGGAAGTTAAAAAGTGGCAGGAAGAAGGAAAGGGGCTGAAGTTATTAAGTGCAAGAATGAGGATCATTTTATTTGTCTGTCGACTCCATATCTCAACACAGTTGAGCTCCATTAAAGCAACACGTCAGCTGCTCAGCTTCCTCCCTCAGCTTAGCATCTCCTCTCTTTTTGACAAGAGTGAAAGTAAAATACATGATTTAACACGGGCAATTATTTCATTGTGCATGGCTGTGTGTTTATGTACAGTAGAGTAGGTCTCCTGATGAGGTTACTGCTCCCATGAGCCCTGCTGAACTTCCTCCTGCTGAGATTAGTTGCTTTGACTGTATGGTTGATGGAGAAAGTGTGTGTATGTGTGTGCGTGTGTCAGTGTGTGTGTGTGTGTGGTGTGTAGGGTTGTTGAGCATATGCTGAGGTCACATGGGTGTTTGTTTGTGTCTTGGGGCTCGGTGTACCTACAGGCAAGCCGCTAATGAGCAGATCTGAGCTCGAGGCTTTCATATGAGTTGTCTCAATTAGTTAACTGCTCAGTAACGGGGAAACGCACAAATAATGTTGATTTGTTAAGGAGACATGTGGAAATAGACACACAAGGCAAACTATAGCTCCTGATAACATTCACTTGGTGTGGTTTGTGTGTTTTCTTTTTTATATCAGTCATGTTTAGATATTCATTCGCTTGTCCTTTTTGTATTGCTGCCAAAAGCTTGACGTTAGATATGATGATAAGGTTTCCAAAAGTGATTTTAAATGACAGAATTGCGATAAAGACACACACAAAAACTCAGAAATGCACCATCCAATATAATCATCTCGGTGTTATTTGTTTCTCCCCGCAGGTATTTCCTATGGAAGACAGGGACTGTGGTGCTGATGCTGACAGCGTGGAAGGACTTCTTCACCTGGCCTCTGGTCATCTTCCTGCTCTCCTGCTGCATTTACCCGCTGGCGTCCAGCTGTGCTCACACCTTCAGCAGCATGTCGGAGCGGGCACGCCACATCTGCTTCTTCTTCGATTATGGCGCCCTTAGTTTCTACAGCCTGGGTAGGTCCACACACACAATGTTGTTACCTTGATTCAAACTGGTGGGAATAATTGCATTCAGTTTTGCTTAACAGCACAATGCAAGTTTACAATTTCTTACTGTCGTGTGTCCTGCTGCAGGGTCTGCAATCAGCTACTCAGCTTATGTTTTCCCGGACGAGTGGGTGAACAGCCTCTTCCACCAATGCTACGTCCCCATAGCTGTGCTCAACACTGTGGTGTGCACCGGCCTGGCCTGCTACTCCAGGTATGTTGAGATCAGATCCACAAGTTCCCATCAGCAAAAACACGTGGGTTTGCTATCCTGGCTCCAAAATGGTGGAATGAGCTCCCCATTGACATCAGGACGGCAGAAAGCACACATCTTTCGGCGCAAACTGAAAACTCATCTCTTTCGACTCCACTTCGAGCGATAGAATTACTAACAGAGCACTTATATATACTAATAAAGGGCTGGCTTATCTAAAGCCAGTTGAGTAGCACTTGAAATGTTTATCTCTATGAAACCTGATGTACTTATATGGTTCTGTTTTCTTCAAGTTTGTATTTTGTTAGTGGAACGCACTTATTGTAAGTCGCTTTGGATAAAAGCGTCAGCTAAATGCAATGTAATGTAATGTAATCAGTACATTTACACAGAGAAAAATCAATCTAAATGTTTTCTATCAGAACAAAAGTTTAACATGATAATGAGCCTGCATTTTCCTGACAAAAAGCTAACATCAGTTATCCCCAATTTTAAGTCGCAGAGCTTAGCGTTTGTTTGTCTGAATGGTAAATTACTGAAGGCTTGTAAAGGAAGGGGTGGGTGGGGGTATTCAATTGTTTACAATCTGTAAGTGCAACGCTACATCCTGCCAAATCCTGCCAAATCCTGTACACTGTCCCTTTAATTAAAAGTAGCAATAGTACAGTGTAGTAATACTTACTTTTGATCTTGCATTAATAATCTGAATATGCAAAGTAATGTGTACCTAAAGGTATCAAATAAATGCAGTGTAGTAAAAATAAAACACTTTTACAATGAGTGGAGAAGATATATAAATAATCAGAAAATCTAAAGTTGTATATTGTACCAATTTTTTACTTAAGTATTTTGCTCTTCACCACTGTCCTATTGTATGGCATAACTGGTTTCAGATATTTGTGAATTTCTGTGTGAGATAGATCCCACCATACCTCGGTTGGCAAAAAAAGCAAGACTGAGTGAATGGTTTTCATCAAGATCAAGAATTATTGTATTATACAATGAAACTGGGAAATCAAAACGTTGTGGGACCTTTCTCACCCATTCAGTATCAATACAACACTGTTTCCCCTCTATACTCAACAACCATTGTCACATTCTCCGCACTGTTATCTCTTCTCTGAATTATTGTTTTCTCAGTATAGCTAATTTATTGTTCTTTCACTCATCTCTCCCCGCTGCTAAGGCTTGGCTTACCATTTCTGCAATATAATCATGACATCGTAAAGAGGTAAAGAAGACAATGCATTTGACAAGAATTCTGCTCATCCTATAGTTTCACTATTCCATCTTAATGTATGTTGATTGAGCATGTTGATTTAACACGTGTGAGTATTGACATGTCTTGAGATGAACTCCATCGCAGAGACATTGTTGAGTTTCATGAGTTACTCTCTGGGTGTAACCCTATCGTGACTATAGAGACAAACCCTAAACTGATTCCCCAGTTGTATTTTATTTCCAGCTGGGCCGATTGGCGTGGCAGAACATGTTTTTTAGCGGGTTGCAATGACTGTGTAATTAAGAACAAATTATTCAATTTTTTTCAGATTTCCTGTGAGTCCAAAGTTCAGCAAATACCTCCGTGTTGTTGCCTTTGCCTACCCTTACCTGTTTGACAACATTCCTCTGTTCTACAGGGTACGTGCACATCTCTTTACCTCACACATGTGTCTTTACAAAAGACAAACCTGAAAGGATTTGTGTCTCTAAAGTGTCAGAGATAAAACTCATATTTAACAAAGTGGTTAATCTTTAACTGGAATGACATTTTTGCTAAACATTAAGGAGCTACATTTTTTTCATTCAGGGTAGATCATTGACTCTAGTGCTCAATGTTTACAATTTCATGTAATGTTATGATATGATATTAATCCAGTCTTACAGTGAACAAGTTAACAATCTATTTTTCAGCATTGAGACAGGAGGCACAGTTTTATTGTTAAAGATTCATTTATTGTCGTAGTACAACACAGGGTTTAGAGTTGTTTAACGTTTCCAGTAAGGACTCAGGATGCTTGCTATTGCTTCTTGGAAAACGCTAACACGAATTTAGATAGAGAGTTTTACCTTTTTAAGTGTCTAGATACCTTTCATACATTTCCTATTTATTCTGATCAGCCTGAGGTTTACTTGTGAGGAAGTGTGGTACTCAAGTGCTACATTTCAATCAGTTTCATGGGAGAGAGAACTAGCAGCTACTTTTTAAGAGTTTATGCCTCATGGTGAAGAAAATAGTAATAATGGATGTAACACTTTAATTTGTTCTGTGTGTTTTTTATTTACAGGTTTTTCTGTGTGTAGGAGAGGGCTGTGCAGACAATGACACAAACATCCTCCACTGCAAACACATCACCTTGGCTTTCCTCACAGGCTTTCTGTTTGCCACACATTTACCTGAGCGCCTGGCACCTGGCAGCTTCGACTACATAGGTACAAGGGGCAGCTATTGATGTCATAAGCTTTGGTTTCTTTTCCCAGTGTGACAAACACCTACAGAGAATTACCACATACGTCTGCTATTCCCCTCAGCACTAAAATTAGATCTTCCTTATTTGAAAGAAGTTCTCAAAACCAATTAGGAAAAATGTAAAGAAACCTTGAACAGTAAATTGATTATATCAATAGGTTTATATAAATGATTATGTTCTAAACCTGCAGCATTATTCAACAAAATAGAAAATGATACGGAAGGTTAATTTCCTAAACTTGAGGGCTTGAATGTACTGCTACTGTTTTTCACTTTGACATGTCAGTGTGCTGCTTTAAAGACAACTCGACTGCTCCCTCTGCAGGTCACAGCCATCAACTCTTCCATGTGTGCGGTATCCTCGGCACACACTTCCAGATGAAGGCCATTGAACAGGACATGATGACACGGCGACCCTGGCTCCTTCAAAATTCCATACCCATCACCTTTTCCAACTCAGTGGGTGCAGGGCTGCTCTGTGTGGTGGTGAATCTGACTATCATCCTCCTCTTCAGTCTACCTCTCCTCTCTGCTCCAGTCTGTAAAGAAAGGCAACATGGTCTAAAGAAAGTATATGCTAAGAGTTGCCCCTGCTGCTGAACCTCTGGCTCCATTAGCAACGGCTAAGGATTCCCAGCACTTCACAACACATGCAGACATAGAATGCAATAGGGGGACATAAAAACATTTTAAAGAAGACTCCTGAGCAAAGAGGAGCTGATCTGCATTAAAGTTATGGTGGTGTTTGGTCTACAGACATCACTGGGATGATTGCTGTTACATGAGTCAGTAAACTTAAAATGATAACTTGCACAAACTGGAAATTATCTGTTTAAAAAAATACAAATGTAGGATGTAAACTACACTAGGCACTGCTGTATATGTTTATAAGCTATTTGTTGCTCAATACTCTGATTTCCACTCACGTGGAGTATGAAGTGATGGCCAGCATCAAGGAACAGCATCTATGTAAAATAAAAAATGCTAACATCACTGTCAATTTTAAATTGTAGTGCTGCATTTAAAGTACTTCTGAGTGCATGTATTTGATATATGCACATCATTCGTATAAAACATGAAACGTATTGACAAGGGAAGGGAATTTATGAGATGCCTTCAAAGAAGCAGTTTAATGAAGTTAGATTTAAATGACTGTTAATGTATTATATGTAACACAGATTAAATACAGAGTCGTTTATGTCCCTCATATTATGGCTGTTTCTGTCCCTGTATAATTTTGAAACGTGCCACATTGTGCCTTAATGATGCAAAACTGAAAAGTATTTATGTGCAATATTATTTATTATTGTTTTTCAAATAAACATTTTACCAAAAATGCCTTTCGTTTTTCTTTTTTAAAGAAACACTCAACGCTGTCATGAAAAACAATCTTTAAACTATCTTTACATCTCCCTCTCATGCATTTGATCTTCTTTGTTATGGTTCTTATGTGATGTTCTTGGTTTTTTTTTTGATTGAAATTGCTGTTGCATATATACGTATTTGGCGTTAAAATTATATTTTTTCAATATCTTCAACTGAAATATAAAATTCTTTCTACACTTTATTTTAATCTTTGAAACATGATAAAAAAATATATGATTCAGCCAAGTAATATTGGGCTAGATGTTAAGGGGCGGGACTTCCGCTACTGACCGCCATGTCTGCTGTGTGATTGGTTAACATATATGACACTCAGGAAAACGTGTCACAGAGGGAATTTCAAATCGAGAAGAGGCGCTCTGTGTTCAGTGGAGAGGAGTTTAACAAAACAAACAATGCAGAGACCAAAGTGAGTATCACCCTGTTTTTATATTTATATTTAGCTACCTAACTGGCAAACAATGTACAACTTAGCATTGTGTTAGCAACATGAGCGAGGTATATAAGGTATTCTGCTAGCGCTTGTTCTGTAGTAAAATAGTGTTAGCTTCTCATGTTAGCATAACGTTAGCCCTCGTTCTAGCCTGCTGACGTTAGTCACTGTTGCCAACTGGTCAATATCGGTGTATGAAAACACTAACATTAAAGAGAATATTACACCACTTCGTGTTGTAACTCTGTGAAAGAGAAAAACACGTAGTCGAGCTTTGGTTATGTTAAATGTAAAGTGGCAAATGTCAATGTAGGTTCATGTTTTTTCTTCCGTTACCTGTGAGTTGTCGTTAGCTGGTGACACCTGAGCTAACATAGCTAGGCAGCGTAGGTTATACGATAGGACGGTTTTAATATATACATAATCATAGAATACTATCAGTGGTGTTAGTAATTAAGTGTCATTTTGTGGTATTTGGACTTGAGGGTACTTGAGTATTTCATTGTTTTGCTACTTTTTTACTTTTATCCCACTACAATTCAGAGGTACACGGTGTAATCCACTACTAATCCACTTATTTGGATCAATAATGTGAAATATTATCAACACTTAAATAACACTTTAGTTACACCTGGAGTAACATTCAGTATACAATGTCATTAAAACTAGCTGCACCTTTACCAGCTTTGATAACACATTAATGCATCTATAATAATAATCAAAACATATCATATATATTATTCTGAGATGGGCCAATCAGCATAATGAGTACTTAAACTTTTGATACTTTAAGTATATTTGCTAATACTTTTCTACTTTTACTTCTGAAACAATTGTAACAGAGTATTCCTATACTCTGGTACTTCTACTTTTACTTAAGTACAAGATCTGAGTACTTCTCCTACCTCTGAATATTACACGGACGCCATATGGCCTTAAGTATGGTGACCCTTTTGCCATCCACATCACTGATCACATATTTACTGTTTCAGCCTGGTTTGGCCTTCGTCCCTCAGTTAATATGAGAAAAGTCTATCTAAGACCATAGTGTGTTCCTGGCTCTGTGGAAAGTTGTAAGTGTCTAGTAAATGTAATGTATATTAGTATTATTATGTAATTTAGCATATATGTTTTTGTGTTTGACCTGGATTCTATATTTCTGTATCACTTGCAGCAAAGGGAAGACTCCTCGGAGGCCTGGCCCTAAAAAGGCAGCCAACATAGATAAAGATCCTGTTGGAGTAAGTGAACTTTGCTTACTTTTGACTTTCCTGAAACTTAAACAATGTCACCCTAAAGTTACAGTAAGAGGGCTGCTTGTGTCAAGCCCTCATGAGACAACCACATAGACAATTGACCACAACACTAAACTAAAACTGAATTGATGTTGTTTTAATTTAATGATTCTTACAGTCACAACATAAAATCACATTTATGTCTGAACTAGACATGTATGGACTTTATCTACAAACATGGAGTTTGTGGCAACGTCATAGGCTAATTTAGTCTTACGGTTTGGCAGTTGTGGTGGCTTCATCAGACTAAACTAAATCTGTTCTTTCATCTTTGTAGGTATACTGCCGTATTCGCCCACTCGGAGCAGAAGATGAGGAATGCTGTCTTGAGATGATCAGCAGCTCCACTATTCAGCTGCATGCTCCTGACGGCATTAAAGCCAACCGCAACGGGGAATACAAAGAGGTGAGTGTGCTTGTCCCTGTCTGCTTGGAGAGTCACCTGAGCTTTTAAAGCAAATGGACCATATTTACTCTCTTTTGCCTCCTCACATCTCAATCAGAAGATAGCATTTAGATGAGCTAGCAAAGAATAAGGAAATGCACCTGATACATTTCTGTTGACCTTAGAAATACCAGCTTTCTACTAAGACAAGTCATTTTGTGAAATGACCCGCATGGTTTTACAAGTCAGTTATATGGTTATTTTTCAGCAAGTAAAAAATCATACAGCCGTACTGAACAAATCCACAATTATATTTTAGTAACGCTTTTTCAAACGGACACCTGAGCCTTTCTTTAACAGGTTTAACATATTATTATTGTAATGCAATGTACTACATTTTCTGTTGAATGCCATTCACATATACTCTTTTTTTTTTTTTCATCCTTCAGACACAGTACTCATTTAAAAAAGCATTTGGTATTAATACCAATCAACTTGAATTGTTTGAGGATGTTGCCAAGCCTCTGATAGAGGACCTTATTCATTGTAAAAATGGTAAGTTCATTAAAGTATGACGTATTAAAATGTGCACCGTACAGAATCTCATTAATTTACTATTTATCCACTCTGGTGCGAAAAAGGGAAATAAATTGAAAACAAGATGATTATTCAAGTACGATTGGGATAACATACTCATCACACACAAGTTTTAATTGACCAACATTACATATCATTTTACTAGTATATCTGAAAAATCAGTCCTAATTGTCTGTGTGAACGGTGGTTATGTGATTGTAATATTCCATGTGCATAGGTCTGCTGTTTACGTATGGTGTTACTGGAAGTGGTAAGACCTTCACCATGACCGGATCACCTGGGGAAGGTGGGCTGCTCCCCCGCTCTCTAGACATGCTCTTCAACAGCATCGGCCCTTTTCAGGCCAAAAGATTTGTAAGACTTTATCCATTCATGTTTTTTTTTTAGTTGATCTCTAAAAAAAAACAGGTTTACATTTTTGGAGAAGGTTGGGACATTTATATGGATGTTTTTAATAAATCCCACAGGTTTTTAAACCAGATGACAAAAATGGGATGGAGATCCAGGGTCAAGTAGATGCTCTTCTCGAGAGACAGAAACGAGAGAGTCAGCCCACTGTGCCCAAAACGCCATCCTCCAGGTAGCTATTAGTATCTTTATATTTACTTCTTTATACTATTTATGGTTTTAAAAAAAGAAAATTAGAGGGAAGTGACATTTTAAATGTAATTCTTTTCTTTTGGTTTTATTTTAGGCAGAAGGCTGACCCAGAGTTGGCTGATATGATCAACTCAGAAGAGGCGTGTAAATCTGAGAATGTGGATGAAGACTGCTGTTACAGCGTTTTTGTGTCCTACATCGAGATCTACAACAACTATATCTATGATCTACTCGAAGATGCTCCGTTTGACCCAATCAGACCAAAGTAAGAGGCAGCATTTCATATTGGTGGGAGCTTTTTTAAAAGAACTGTCTGAACAACAGCTATTTGTTATTACAGGGTGTCCGCGGGGTCTTAAAAAGTATTAAAAGTTGATAAATCAATTTAGCGAAAATAAGGCTATTAAAAAGTATTAAACGGCATTTTCCAAGGTATTACATTTTGTAGCTTGTTTTCAATAAGTATATAAATCGTCCAAAGAGGTTGTACTCTACAGTCTGCCTGAATGTAATCATTGCGTAGGTGTGTCGTGTGATTCTGTGTAGTTTATTTATGGCATCCCGTTGGATTTGACGTCATCTGAACAGGACATCGCACGCTCACTGCTTGATAGCGCGCAAAGGTCCGTTTACACCAGTTGTTAAACAACATCGTTATGGAGAAATGCAAGTTTGCGTCGAAATGGTTGGAAGATAAGGAGGAAGGATAATCAATACTGTATATAGTCAATGTGAGGTAAAGTGTGTCGCCAATGTAACCGGTTAAAACTCAAAGTGGCGATGAGGTCTTAAAATGTATGGAAAGGGTCTTAAAAAAGGTCTTAAAAGGTTTTACATTTGACTTCAGGATTCCTGCATATACCCTGTATTATGTATGATCTGGCACTGTCATCAACTAAACCCACACAAAGAAACACTGCTAACGTGATCTAAAGATGTTTTTCTAGTTATAGTGCACATATATTTGTGAGTGTGTGTATCATAGGCACTTTGACTGTGCTCCGTGTATCTGCTGAATAAGCTAATATTTGAAACACTTTTCTGTTGACACAATGCACTTTTAAAAAAATCCTGTTTTTGTAAGGTGGTTCGCTGGAGGCACTCCTGTACGGAACAATGAGTTCATGTATGTGGCCAGTGAAAGTCCATTACTTTAACTTGGCTATAGCTGCTGTCCCATATGTCGTTAGTGCATTTCCACCCCATTAATCCAAATCCCTGTAAATAGCATAAATGTAGCTGACTAGCTTTTTGTCATTTTGGTGTCTTCAAGGACTCCCTGCTGTTGTTCTTAGTGTAACAACTGAACACATCCCTGAATGGCTCCAAGCTTGTTTGCATGAATCTCTGTGTACCCCTGAATGTGACCCCCGGAGATTGTATTTAGTTTTATGTTATTAGCACTAACATCATGTTGTTTTTTCATTTGAGCTTTTGATGCTTGTCTAACTAAAAGGACACATCATACAGTTACAGTATTTTAACTATTTGTATTAACTGGTTTCAGAGCACCTCAATCCAAGATTCTCCGCGAGGACCAGAATCACAACATGTATGTGGCTGGCTGCACAGAGGTCGAGGTCAAATCCACAGAAGAGGCTTTTGAAGTCTTTTGGAAGG